TTTCGTTTATACCCCCTCTCCCCGCTAAGCAGGCTCAGGGGGGCTTAGACAATTTGATACATAAATAACAATTAAAATCCACATAAAATCATCTAAAAAGCAGTTCCGTTATAAACAATTTATTAATTGGCAGTGATTCATTAATTGCTTGACGATGGCGTACTTTGTGAGTGCATGGAAAGGTCTAACTGAATGTTCTGCTCCATGATCTTCCTGATATGAGTGGCGGCACAGGCTGTCGATGTCAAAGCCAAGGGCCAGGGCTCTATATTTGGGGTTGTTGGCGTTAATAGTGGCGGCGGCTCCTTAGCTGAAGGCCTGGCGGAAGAGCTCTGTCTTGCAGGCCCTGCGGAACTGTAGAAGGTCCTGCAGGGCCCTGATCTCTTCTGGGAGCTCGTTCCACCAGTATGGTGCTGCCACTGAGAAGGCCCTGGTAGTAGCCAGCCTGGCGTCCTTGGGGGCCAGTCGATTTTGAGACCCCAACTGTAGTGCTCTCTGGGGTATGTATGGGGAAAGGCGGTCCCTCAGGTACATTGGACCCTGGCCATATAGGGCTTTAAAGGTAAGAACCAGTAAAGGTAAGAAGTCCAGGGTCACTACCCAGAGGAAGGCAATGGCAAACCACCTCTGAGCACCTCTTCCCTTGGAAACTCTAAGGGGTTGCCATATGTCAGTTGTGACTGATGGTCCCCTAAGCTTCGGAGTCTTCCGAGCAAAAATTCTACTTTGTGAGCTCCCGGCATTAAAGTTGTGAGCGAGCAATTTGGCTACTGCATAAGTTAGTTTGCTCTGGAGCTGTCCTTCCTGAGCAAAAATGTGTGAGCTGGAGGCTAAAAAACTGTGAGCTAGCTCACACTAACTCAGCTTTGAGGGAACACTGGTTGTGAGTTGATGTCAAAAATTTACAAGACATGGAAATTTAAGGAGTTCCCCCTGTAAAATTGGACTGGGGTTGTGTGTGTGTGTGTAGGGGAAGAGACGGTAGGGACAGACGCAGACAGCAAACATGGTACCAAATCCCCCAACTGCAAATATCAGGCCACTCCAAAACTGTGCAGGACACCAGCTATTTCTCCTCCACGGGCAGACCTTTGAGGAAGTGCCTCTCCTCTGAGACAGATCAGTCTGAAAGATTCAAAAGGAAAGCGTTTCTGACACGGATGGGCCGGGCCCAGCGCTGTGACAACAGGCAAGGCCTCTTTTGCCAGGATTACAAAAAGAACAGATGGGAGACACTTTCGAATCAAAAGGCGCTCTATGAATGCAACTTATGGAGTAACACAGAGCTCTTCGTCAAAAGGCTGCGCGTGACTCAAAAGTTTCCACAATCTGGACGACCAAGAGCAGCCGGCAAAAGCTCGCTCTCTAGATCCACTTGGTACATCCTTCTTGCCTGGGTCCCTCGCCTAGCCTTGCCTCTTCGTTCTACCCCCTCTTGGCTAGAGAACGCCCCCCCTCCCCTCCCCTGCCGCCAGTGGCTCCCATTCATACCGTTTCGCTCCCAATTAGTGAAGAAGCAGCTGCAGGGACGGCGTCCAAGATCTGGAGGCTTCCATCTGGGCAGGAGGCCAGGCCGGGGGCCTGTTGTTCAGAGAGGTTTTTGAGAGCCAGCTCGTGCCTCATCCCCTGAATATGCACACTCATTTTGCTACCAACTTCAGTGTTGCACAGAAGGAATGCAAAGAGGGGGCGGGGGGGGGCGGACAGACATTCACGTTTCTGGTCATTTGCAACATGAGACGCAGCCGGCTTGGGGTTCCAGGCATTTGTGTCCACTGTGCTTCCACACAGAGATTTCGCTCACGAATGAGTTCGGGGGGGGGGGCTACGAACCAAACATCATCAACATTCCAAGCTGTCCCCCAATTCGCTCTGATCTTCCCCAAGCCTAGTTTGGCAAGAGCTTTTGGGAAAGACCACAGTCAAAGTGGTCATGTGGGTGGGAAGACACCCCCCCCCCAGTACGTCACTAGCCCTTTTTGTTGCAGAAATACACCTTCCAGGGCTCTTTTTGTAGCGGGAACTCCCTTGCATATTAGTCGACACACCCCTAATGTAGCCAGTCCTCCAAGAGCTGACAGTAGCCCCTGTAAGCTCTTGGAAGATTGGCTACATTAGGGGTGTGTTGCCTAATATGCAAAGGAGTTCCTGCTACGAAGAGCCCTGCACCTTTCCCCTTATACCTCCACAATGAAAAGGGCTAAGGAACCCCCCACACACACACCAAAAGCTGGGAATTCAGAGGAACTAGAATGGCAATAGATGGTTATAGTGATCTAGCAATCACCAGTTGTCATAAAGATTTCCTGTGGTGCAGCAGGCGAGAAGGCACTTAATGGAGGAATGTGGGCACAACATTCTTGTGTGGACATTCTGATGCCGACGCCACTGCTCCTGCGTTCAGGAGGAAATGGAGGATCCTCGCTCTGTGGGGGCATCCCAGGTCTCGCCTCAGCGTCTCTTCTCACTTGGAGACGTAGAACATCTACCCAAGGTGGCCCACGTACGCCAGCTGGGGATTCAAGGAAGGGGGAGTGTACAGAAGGACCGTGTGGGAAGAGGACTCCGCTCTCCATTTCTGGCTCAGTTCTGTCAGCTTTCCAGAAGGCGCACGACCACAAAATAGAATGCACCGATGCACACATCGGTGGATAACAATGTACAGGGGACCACCGTTTAATAAATTAGATCTTCTTTATTATTTTAACATCACGATCCCTGTTGTTAACAAGATTAGAAAATTACAAATACTGCGTCGGTTAGCATTCTCCATTGCAAGTAAAAAAAAAATCAGTAGAATTTCAACGGCTCATATTTGTGGCGTGAACTTTCTTTATACTCTGAGGAGGGATGGAAGGAATCGGCAGCACCCGTGAGCAAAGGTCCGGTACTTTTCCGGCTATTTTGCACGGCAAAACCTTCTAAGGCACAGGTGTAGGGGGACAAAGAGCTGAGCGGCGTCTCCCACAAGAACGGTAGTGCATTCTCCCAGCACCTGGTAGTTCTATAAGTTTTCAAGCGGAGGCTGGACGACCATCTTCCGGGTATGTCGTAGGGCTGTCTTTCGGCTGTGCTCCTGCAGAGTGCAGGGGGCTGGACTAGATGACCTGCAAGGTCCCTTCCCACTCTAACATTCTATGATTCTATGAAACAGAACCTAAGGTCTTTAAACTCTTATTCAAGTGTGCCCTAAGATCTTTAGCACCTGGGGCCAGTTTGTCGGGTCATGAGCAGCCACGGGGCAAGTTTCTCTGGGAAGTTCCCTTGGGCAAGCCCCACAGAAATGAACCATGAACGGAAGCTCATTTTCCAGGGGGGTTGCCTGGGGAATCCTGCTCCACAACCACCTGTTTAGGCGACACACCCCTAATGTAGCCAGGGATCACGCCACAACCACGCCAGTTTGGTGTAGTGGTTAAGTGCGCGGACTCTAATCTGGGAGAACCGGGTTTGATTCCCCACTCCTCCACTTGCACCGGGCTGGATGACCTTGGGCAAGCCACAGTTCTAACAAGAGCTGTCCTTGAAAGGGTAGTTCTTGAAAGAGCTCTCTCAGCCCCACCTACCTCACAGGGGGTGTCTGTTGTGGGGAGGGGAAGGGAAAGGAGTTTGTAACCCGCTCTGAGACACCTTCGGGTAGTGAAGGGTGGGGGTATAAATCCAATCTCTTCTCTTCTTCTTCTTCTTTGGGAAGGCCTCCTCGCCCTGCACGTCAAGCTCAGATCACAGCGCCCAGTTAGGGCAGCCCCAACCAGTGTTCCCTCTGAGCTGAGTCAGTGTGAGCTAGCTCAGAGTTTTTTATCCTCTGGCTCACACAGTTTTTTCTTAACGCAGGAAGGAGGGCTCCAGAGGAAACTAATTTATGCAGTGGCCAAATCGCTTGCTCACAACTTTAATGCCGGGAGCTCAAAAAAGTAGAATTTTTGCTCACAAGGCTCCATCGCCTAGAGGGAGCCCTGGCCCCAACTCCCTGCCCAGACAGTTAGGGGCACGCTGGCCTCTCTCGCAGCCTCTGCCTCGGCTCGCTATCTGCGGGACGGAAACAACGGCCTCCCTCGCAGGGCAGTGCTGAAGACCAAGCGAGACGAAGGGGGCAAAAGGCTTCACACGCTGCAAATACGAAAAAGCATCCATCAAACAAAACTGTCCAATGTGCGGGCTGTCTTTAGCCTGAAACGGCTCTTGCAACCAAGTTTGGGGCGTGGGGCTTGAATGGGCGTAAAGGAAGGGGGACAGAAAATTGTGTGTGTGGGGGGGGGCTGTATTAAGGCACGGGGCACGTGCAGGAGCGTCAGTGTGGGGCTGCTGGAATGCTGGTGCGCTGGAGAGAGTATAGCAGCACCCCCCCCCCAGCATGGTGCCTTGGGGGGGGGGTGTTCAGTAGAAGAAGAAGAGATTGGATTCATACCCCATGGCCCTTCACTACCCAAAGGTGTCCCAGAGCGGCTGACAGACTCCTTTCCCTCCCCCTCACCACAACAGACACCCCCTGGGAGGTGCAGGTGGGGCTGAGAGAGCTCTGACAGGAACTGCTCTTTTTCAAGGACAGCTCTTATCAGAACTACGGCTGGCCCAAGGTCATCCAGCCAGGTGCATGTGGAGGAGTGGGGAATCAAACCCGGTTCTCCCAGATTAGAGTCCGCGCACTTCACCACGACACCCAACTGGGACCTGAGCAGAATACAATGCCACAGAGACCACCTTCCAAAGCAGCCCTTTTCACAAGGCGCACGTATCTCGATGGCTTGGAGATCAGTCGCAATCCCAGGAGATCTCCAGCCGCCACCTGGAGGCTGAAAAGCCTACCAAAGGCATCCCACCCACCCCAAATAAGCAGCAGACCCCCTCCCCATCCCCAGG